TTTGTAGAGTCTCTGTAAGTTTTCTCTATCATGAATAGAAAGAGATAGGCACCTCTGGAAGGCAATTCACATTTTAAGTTTATAGACTTGCAACTTGGAGATCAGGATTTCTTCCAGTTATATCGGGTTATATGAACCTGAGCATCACAGTTAGTGGCTTACAGTTAATGGAATGAAGCCAGACTTTGAAGACAAAAGTGGAAAGACCCCATAATTTAACTTGGCTTTACACCAAATTTACATTAATGCATTTACATTAGCCTGTTGCTACAAAGAAAGACACTTAATGATACGTTAATTTAGCATATATTTATTACACCTTCTCCTCACATCCATAGACACTGTATACATACTCACTATTTTTCCAGTCCTCAAGAGGTGTAGACATATTTATCCAGCACTGAGCCAAATATTTTAACCATATTATACTGTTTTGGAGAGTGAGAGAGATCCTCAGAATAGTGCAATAGTCACTAGACCTTATGAATGTGCTTTACATTTCACATATATCAAAAGAAAAATCAAATATATGCTTGATGGTAATTGATAGACAGACTTCTCATTAAAATGCTTAGTGTCTCATTGCTTTTTTTGACAACTGTGCTGCTCAAAGCTTAGCTTTGGCTGTGTTTATTTTTTTCATTCCAGATGCAATAACCAAAGCAAAATTGGCCTAACAATCAAACTTATCTTTTCATCTTTCTGATTCAGTTTTTAGTTATAATCTCAAGATATAGCATCTACATTGTTTTATTTATTACTTCTGAATTCTCTCTCTTTCCTGTTCTTTATATGATCTCCTGATTAATCTCCCACGACAAAAAGAACTCTGACAGGTAATGCAATTTTGTTCCTGACAGTCTTCTGCCTCTTTCAAATATTTTTGAAATATTTGAATTGTTCAAATTCAAATTCATTGTTCAAATATTGAGCTAGTGGAACATAATGCAAAATTGTCATGTTTTATATTCTATATGAATAATAATGAAATTTTTAATCTTGAAAATCCAGTCACACAGAAGCTAGCCCGTTGGATGAGATCTGTGGAGTATTCGGTTCAGGATCCCAGCTCCAACGGTGATGATTATTAGGTGCCTCTAAGAAGTATAAAAATCCTTCAGATAAAAGGACTTAAACTTGCTGAAAGATTTGATATAAACCCTAATATTTATAGGCTTAAGCCCTTAATCATGAAGTTTTTATATCCTTCTAAATATAAATTATAATAGGATATTCTAGCTGTTATGGTAAATACATAATCCTTCTCTTTTAATCTTACTAAATGCAAGCACAACCTCTGAGAATGAGTGCTAGAGCTGAATTATATACTATATGAAAAAATTAATAATCTTGCAGTCATTTTGAATTTAGTACTTTTCAGCTTCAACGAACTTCACTTTATGGCACAAAGAAAACAAAAACTTCTGATATTTCTTTTCTAGTATTTTCCAGTTGAAGCAATAACTTCTCATGCCAGCAACTAACTGGGCGTTGTTACTGCTCTCCCAAAGAGCTCTCTTGGGAATGATACTTGCAAGGGAGTTTTTCAGAAGAAGGGAGTGATTTAAGACCACCAGTTCCAATGACAAGTCAATGAGATATGCTACTAAAGACTTTGACACTTCTGAAAATATCCATAATGTTCTGCACATCACAGCTACAAGGTGGGCATAGCAATAATGAAAGAGGAATAATAACAAAATTAACTTAATTCCATACTTCCCAAAAGTGCGGTAAAGATTAATGCATTAATTTAGATAACATGCTAAGAAGCCTCTGTGCTAAGTTTCAATAAGTTTATAAATAAAAAGAAAATGTTAATGTTGCAGAGGAAGAACCTGTGAATGTCTGAGCTTTTGGATTAATAATAGTGTTCGTTCTAAAAACAATACACAGAATTGTGGTGCTTTTTCAAAAACACACATGTTATATTCACTTTTCATTCCTCCACGAAAGTTATGCATGTTAATCTCCATCCAGAAATTTCATTTCCAGTGCATCAAAATGCACTGGGAGTTGGAAGAGTAGCTCAGTGTCTGCACAAATGTAAACTGGGTATCCCTTTAAGAAAAAGCCATTCATGGAAATCACAGTGCACAAAATCATTTTTAATGTGGCTATACGCGCAAAATTGAGAGTTACAATCTTCTCACAGCTATTTATATGGGCTATAAAGTCGCTGGACTTTATATTGCAGTATTGTGTAAAAATGTCAAAGTGGTAGATATCAGCCCTTGTATTTTTTTTCCAATATACATTCTGATTTACAACTTGTCTAGATTTATTCTACTTCTACAAATTAGACTGCATTTACATTTTCATAGCATTCAGCTGCTTTGTAGTCATGATTTACACTCATCCAGTGTAATTAAAGTTTTTGTTGTGATCTTATAAGATTTTTTAGTCGTCTGTATTTCCACACTGTATCTCCCCAAATTCCAAATCTTTTTTGTTCATAAAGCTGTATCTTAAAAAACAACAGAAACAATCATCTCTAAAGCAAATTACTACGTAGGTCAAATAAAGCACACACCTGATTTGAATTTCTCTCTAACACTATATTACCGATTTAGAATTTAAAGTAAAGGCCTTTCTCTAAAGAAATTGGACTCTAATTAAGTACAGTAAACAAACTTCAATAATGTCAGTGATTTAACTCACTCTAACACACAACTTAAGCTGTCCCACAAAAAGCCAACACAAAAGACTTAAGCTCTGTTCTCTGTTCGTCGCTCTCTCTTTATATCTTAGATCTTTTAAATAGTGAAATTTTGTGCAATAGTGTGATACAGAGTTAGTCTTGGAATATGAATGCATGAAATAGCATAGAGCAGTACTTGAGTTCTAGCTGGTTTGTTGCTTTTTCTGGTTAAATTTAACACTGGCTAACTGACATTTGTATAGAACAATCAAAATACTCCTCTTTCTTTGCTTCTCTCTAATTCAAAATAAAATTTGTTGTCTCTGTTTACAGGTAGTAGAGTACCCACTTATGTAGTACTCAATTATGAGTATTGCTATTACTCATAATGGAACTGGAGGTAAATCTAAACTTACAACTACATATACATGCATGTATATACATTTTTTTTCTCATAGTTATCTTTATTTCCTTTGGGTATCTTAACTCTCTAAAATATTCTCAATTTTAATGTTTGATGCCTAATTTTAATGCTATAAAAGCTCTAGTTCTGTTTCCTCAGAACAGAAACAGATATCTTGCAGAGACCACCCACACACAGATTTGACTAATTTCTACTAATGCGTGTGCAAACCTGAACAGATAGGACTAAAACAAATATCTCTGTTAGATATCCTACTGAGAAACTAAAATGGAAATGTTATAAGGAAACATTTGAAAACTGATCCTAAACATGGGCCAAACTATTCATTAGGTAATAATAATCACCAATGAAATAACAGATTATCAATGATTTAAAATAAAGCTTAATTATTCAGAAGCTGAGTCTCGCTGAAGGTCAATGGCAATTACATTCCAAAATGCCTATTTTTATTTTAATATGTAATCTTAAAGCACATAAATACTTCTGAAAAATTTTCCGTTATATTTTATGTTCTTTTCAGATTATGCCTCGTTTAGCCTATTTGAAAAGATTATTTTCCATTAAAAACGAAAGGGTACCAAATAAAGGCAGTAACAATGGAATAACACATTTAAAGTCTGATTGACTCCTGTTCTTGTTCTGTGAGAATATATTGTTTTTGAAGTAAAAGATTAAATGTTAAGCAGAAAAGAAGACAACAGCCTTCTTTTTTTTTATCCTATTATTTCTACATGATACACAAAATTAAAGAATGGCTTTAAGTAATAGTTAATGCCAGGAAATTCAACAGGAAAACTGGATAGTGAAGGGAAAATTATTTTTCATGTTCAGATATGTGACCACTTTACCATAAGTATGTTTTTCTAGACACGAGTTTGAAAAAATAAAACTGAAATTAAAACAAAAATGTTTGGCTCATCATTTTATCCCTCAGAGTTAGGCACAAATATATTTTGTAAAGAGATTTAATTTAAAAATGCATTTATCTGTATCTTTACTGCAGTTAACTCTATCTGTATGCAGTTAACTGCACCAAACTTTTCTCATCTATTATACGTTAATAAGTAGAAATAGGTGTTATAAAAGCCATTTGGTGAAAGGTTGATTTTAGCTTTTTCAGGTAAATCATGTTCTACAACATTTAAAGTCACTCATTAGCTTTTTTCTTAAAAAGAATTAGGGAAAAAAAAATGAATCAAATGTTAGTTCTTATATGTTTAACTCTCATGGATTCAGGCTGTCTACATTCTCCCTCAAAGGTATTTGTATAGCCAGCTTCCCTGATTCTCCTGCTGGTCTGGAGTCTTGGAGTGTAATTGCACATCAATTACAGTGCTCTTTTGGGGAGAATATCAAGTCTAGTCAACATTCTCCAGCGTATTTTCAGAAAGGCAGTCTAAACTCACACATGCCTGCGTACATTATCAGACATCCCAGAGAGTACACACCTTTATGCCTTCGTGGTGGGCTACAGAATTACAGTGTACCTGTGCCCCTCTCTGCAGAAGGGCTTTATATATGGCTGCAGCTAACAGCTTGTCTCACAGCTACAGTGACAAAGTGGAAAACTACTTGCAAGGATGAGAATGGCTAGGAGTTCCTACTTCAATACCGCTTGCCAAGAAACAAGATGATGGCTGTAAGTGACTCAGTCCTCTCTTTCAAGCAGTGCAGTTAGAGCTTTAGATGAATCTACAAATAGTGAGATGCCCGCATGAGAAGTATTGCAAAAGTGCATGTTCCTAATGCCCCTTGACAGCTGTTGAAAGGAGCTATAACAGATGGCTACTTTGATCTTTTCCTCATATTCCTCAGTTGTAGTGCTCATATTGCAGCAAGCAACAGTACTGCCCATAGCCAATATGAAGGAGAGCACTGGCTCACAGATAGAAGCAATCAGAGAAAATGAGATTACTCTTTTAGCCTTTATTTTCACACAAAATATACAATGTTATGCACACATCCCACAATTCTGCATTGGTCTCAATCTGCCCATGCCTCTTTTATTTCTTTCAATTCAGCTGTGAAACTGCAGAGGAGACAGAAGGAAGTTTATCTCACATAACTCTCACAAAGATGCCTTGCTCATGAACTAGGTTCTGGTGAGATTTATCTGTCATCTCATGTTAGAAGTACAGTTAAGAGCAGGCTCGTTCATACAACACTGGCATGATAGCTTCTGATGACTGCGTTCATATTCACTTATAGCATTTATTTTGATCAGTTCTATTAATGCTCAATATCTACTACAGGCTGATCTCATTCCCTAATCTACCTTCCAAATTTGCTTCAGTCTTCACGCAAATTCCACTTTCCAGGACAGATCCCCCATAGAAAGGAGAGACTGGAAGGATTTTCAATGTGGATGTGTCCCAGGCGCTCCGGTATGAAGAAGCACTGGAGCAGTCCTGAGGAGCAATCTGTCACGGCAATGCAAGAATGCCTTGACTTCTCTTCATACAGTCAGCTGTTATGGAAAGGTAGTCCTGACCTTAGAAAATATAGAATACAAATAAGTAATTATGCTGAAAATATAAAAGCATCAGCAAATGTGTTCCTTTTTTCCCATTCCCAGACTAATTTTTAGTTAGACTAAGAAAACAAGCCAGTGGTTGTTAATATAAATAAACTGAATAGAATATTGTTGAAATCGGTGCAATACTGCAATGCTTGACACATACAGCCCATCCTGTAAAATAAAAAAGTGAGTAGGACTTAAAATCACCTCACATACTGTGACCTTTCACAGTCAAGAAAATATCTTTAAAGGATGAATTCAAAGGCTGATGAAGTCCAATGGTCACATTCAGTCAGGTCTTTGAAGGTGAAGCTAGTTTTATTTACCCTTCTTAAGTCATAGTTGATGTGGACATGACACTATCATGATTCACAGGTTAGAGAAATTCCAGAGCCAAAAATTTAAATCTGATAACTAGTCCTTTTGTCCACGACTTGATAGAATTTGGGAAGTATGGGGACAGTATTAATACCATGTATTGGCAAAAGATAACATTTATTCTGTAAATGTGAATAGTTCAAATAATTATTTAAACACTTTCACGTTTCTCCATCATTAGTACTCGATGTAGCTTAGGTATTGTTTATAGAAGTCTCTTATACAGAGGTTTATCTTGTCAAAGTGAGCATCTGCATTTGGATTTTATTGTTATCATCATCGCTATAATCTATTTTGTATTATTTCCTTTGCATTAATGATGGCATCACACTAGCAAAGTACAAACACATTCCAAACCAACAAAGAGATTTCAATTCTTAGTCCATCTCAAACCAATTAAAACCCCTAATATAGCATTTATGTGAAAGGCAAATGGTGTAGCTTCATTTCCAAAAAATTAAACGAGAATAAAATTAAGAAAAGGAGAAAAAAAATCTTACCACTAATGATAAATATTTTTAACTGACTTTCCCTATTGAACAGTGCTAGAAACAGAGGAAAACTTAAAGTGATAATCAGTCTTCCCTCATCATTTATCTGCTCACTTTTCTAGCAGTTCTTCCATCAGAACACTAACCCTTTGGAGTTGCAGTGTCTTTTAGGAACTTTCCTACATGAATTTCTTTGCTTTCTCACCATTTCCTGTGTATGAACAGAAACTCTTTGCTTGGATACTGTTTTGGAGAGCAAACAGGGCAGAGTAACAGTTATTTGTTATACCAAATGCCTCATTTTATACAATATCTGCCCCTGTTGAGCCACGTTATGATACTTTTACTCATGCGGAGTAGCATTGTGAGAAAAGATTAAACAAGGAAGTGGAAGGATTTGTAGGGTGCGAAGTTGAAATAAAGAGAGGTGCATGTTTTACAAGAGGTTAGTCTGCAGTGATCCAAGTTACAAATGCCCCCTTACAGAAGGGCTCTAGAGAGGAATTTTGGAGCTACCCACAGCTGAGCTACCCTATTGATATCAAAGTAGGAGCTGCCTTCCACTGCACTCACTGCTAGCAAAACAGAATCTAGTCTAGCATTAAGGACATTTTTAGGTCCATCTGGGCAAAAACAAGATGTCTACAAATCCTGAATTTGAAGGATTCAGAGGATTCTTCATAAGGATATGAAGAATCATTCTTAATTCATTAAATCTATTCTAGTGAGCATCAGCCCCAGACACAGATCTTATAACTGAAAAGGTTTTTAACACTGCATGATTAGGCGTATAAACAGACGTATGTGCAGACCATACTCCCTAACATCTAGATCTTGCTCAAAATGCACCTGTATCTCAGCTTTAATTGGTATACAAAATAATTATATAATCTACTTCACAGTTAGGACCATCATAGATCAAAAAATCAATACAATTTTATTTTGCAGAATAAATTTCTAGGTTTGAATGGAAGCTTCTATTACTCAGAGAAGAAGGAATGATTTAAAACAAATATTTCAGAGATTAAGTTGTAATGCTCATCACAAATTTACTTTCTAAGTGGTTTCTCATTCTTGTGCTGCTTTAATTCCTTGAACCAGTTATTATCTATTAGGGAGTATGAAAGGATACCAGCAACAATTACTCAACAGTTTAATGGTTGCAGAGTATCATAAAAATACAGGTTCATAATTTTATATTTAGACATCCACTCAGCTCAGCTCAAATCCATTGCCTAAATTTTATTCCATTCATTATATTACAAAATTAATTGAAGTCTGCCTTAAGCAGAAACAGAAAGATAGCAAAAACGTATAAATATAATTCGTAAGTAATGGAAAAGATTCATCTTTGATCGACACCAAAATCTGTCAAAGCCACAAAGCGTACAATGCATAGAACAAAAAAAAGACTGTGAACTTGTTTGAAGCAAGCCAGAGCAATCTTTCCCAACCTGATTTGCAGCTATTGACTCTATATCTACATAGCTGTTGTAAGAGATACGAAAACAGTGGAGGGTTGGTTTTTTTTTTTTTTATGTTTTAAATGTCTGTCTTCTTGTTTGCCCTATCTGAAACCTGCTGATCCACCACAGAATAAATATCTGCATACAACCCTGTAAAGGAAACAGAATGGCAAAGGGCTAATCAAACCCTTGGCTACCCACTGGTAACACAGTAAAACTGATCATAACTTGACTGAAACTCTCTGTTGTAGCCAATGGCAAAATAACCTCCTTTTCAGTGTGGCCAGAAAATATAGCAGCAGATAATTACATATTGCTTGCAAGCATCAGCTTGAATTTTCATTTGGTTTACAGGTGACTTTCTGCCATGAAAGTATGCTACTGGTTATAGCCACAGAGTACAGAAGCATTCAAGGAGAACAGTAAGAAAACAAATCTACCTCAAGAGATTTTTTTCAAGGAGATGCCACAGTTTCACGTCCTTGCTGCAAAATGCATAGAACCTAAGCCCATTACGGGTATAGGTATTAGGAACCATTTGATAAAGGCAAATATCAGGGTTTCAGTATCAATTTTATGGAACAAAAGAAAAACACAGTCCTATCCTTAGATTTATTTATTGTAACTTTTGTAACATTTGATAGGGAAAATTTGCAAAAAATATAACTATAACTTCAAAAATTGTTTACATTTTAAATGAGTTCAAACTCTGGAACAGCTGGATTATCACTGTCCTACTTTTTCTTGTTTCTCCTCTTAAAGAAACACTTTTTGAAATGCTATTCTACACTCTTTGAGAAGGGAATTCTCTGTGCTCTTAAACTTTCCTTATTACTGAGCAAATGCCAAGGGAATTAAAAGCTTTTTGACTGAAATGTAAAGATGCAGCAGTTAAAAAAAATAAAAATAAACTAAATTCACAGAGGAGAGGAACACTGAGAACAGCATGTGCCTAGTGATTAGGTATGTCATGTTAGTTGTATATGGAGCTAGAGCATCTGGACAGAAGCAGGAGAGAGATACACAGAAAATAAATCTGTTTTTGCAGAGAACAGGGAAATGAGAAATATCTGAAATAAAGCGGTACCAGAAAATGTGGGAGAATTGAACTTTGTCATTACTGCTTAAAACTTACTCAGGAAAAATTGTGAGTCAATCAATAGCATGTCACAGAGAGATCCCATAGAGCTTTTTCTCTCCTTCAATTGTAGGCACTCACCCAAGGTTGCCATAATAGCTAAGTGCATTACTTTCAGCAAAGGAAGTGTTTTTAAGGAAGCCAGGAGATCAAAAGGGACCTACTAAATGAAATCAGAAAAAATGGGTGTTCTAGACTCTACCTGTTTTAACTCTGAATCTACACAAAGAGATGAGAGAAGTGACTGGAAGCCCTGACAAAAGGACACAAGGACTGGACTTCCTCTGCAGCCCTCCTTCAGCTATCATGTTTGTACCACTAGAATTGTGAAAGAAGGGCAAAAACTCTTTTATCCTTGGAGTACGAAGAGAGGGCTCTAAAAAGATCAGGTAATAAATATCATAAAAGAACAGGAAAACACAATTCTGGCAATAGCAAAAGTAATTTTTATACACCTATACTCCTACTAATTATGAAAGGCATAAACTTAAATAAGAAATGACGGAGGTGGGAGATGACAATCTGCAAGCAAGAAGTGGTGGACCAGTTTGGTAAGCAAAATATGCAGGGTAATGTGAAGAGGAGAGACTTCATAAACAAGAAAAGAGGGTTGAAAGGATTTCATCTCAAGCATTATGCACAGAAATAAGGAAGTGCCTATGGAACATCATTCTGGGGGAAGCTTTCATAACTCTTCTGGGAAATTAGCACAACTGAGTGCCTCTCTGAAGTGCCTGTACACAATTGCATATGGTATTGGGAGCAAACTGGAGAAATTAGAGGTCTGCATGCAGTTGCAGGGCTTAGGTTAGGATTAGAAGGCAGACCAGCATGAACGATGTTGTGGTGGGCATCTGTAGTAGACTGCCTGACCAGGAAGAAGTAGATGAAGCCTTCTTCAGATAACTGTAGGAAGCCTCATGTTTGCAGGCCCTGGCCCTCATGAGGGACTTTAATCACCACGGCATGTGCTGCAGAAGCAACACAGTAACACAGGAGGCACAGGCAATACAAGAGGGGTTTCTGTAATGCATTCATGACAGCTTGCTAACAGAGGTGATCAAGGAGCTGATGAAGGGAGACACCCTGCTGGACCTCATAATTCCAAACAAGGAACAGAGATGTGAAGGCTGGGGACAGCCTTGACTGTAAGGACTATAACACGGTGGAGCTCAGGATCCTGAAAGGAGGGAACAAAGTAAAAAGAAGGATCACAACCCTGGACATCAGGAGAGCAGACTTTGGCCTTTTCAGGCACCTTCTCGGAAAAATCCCGTAGGATATACCAACACTCTCGAAGTGAGCAGGGATGAGATTAGGAAATCTAAAGCCCATCTGGTGTTGAATATGCCAAGGGATGTGAAGGGTAACAGAAAAGGCTTCTACAAGCACATAAACCGCAAAAGTAAAGCTAAGGAAAATATAGGCCTGCTGCTAAATGGGGTAGGGGTCCTGGTGATAGAGGACACGGAAAGGACTGAGGTTTTCAATGCTTTCTTT